TWMMAAWTAGGCCTTTAGGGTTAGAACGAAAGGCATTCAATTTCATTCTAACCCTTCCCTCCTCTCAGTCCTCATACCCCGACTCATGACTTGCGGCAGCCACGACTGATGGCGATTCACGGTGACTGGCGACGACGGAGAACTTCACCTACGGCGGTTTGCATTTTATAACCAGCAACAACCTCTATTTATCAATGATGAAGTGCATTTTGGCAGTTCCCGGCTGGCTAGTGACTCAAATGTCTAGCTGAATAATCCCTACCTGGAAGGTGGCTTGCATGCCTAGCTGAATGGTTCCTACCTAGAAGGTGACTTGGACGCTTACCTGAAAGGTTCCTACTTGGAAGTTGGCTTGGACGCCTAGCTGAATGGTAACGAGCTGGAGAGGTGGTTCTGATGCCTAGCTGAATGGTGACGAGCTGGAGAGGTGGCTCTAATGCCTAGATGAATGGTGACGAGCTGGAAAGGTGGTTCTGATGCCTAGTTTAATGGTGACGAGTTGGAGAGGTGGCTTTGATGTGACCTGCAAGGAAACAGTGTCAGAGTGCTCAGGTTGCTTTACCTGGGGTGGGCACTCCGATGCTTAAGTTAGAGAATCAGAGATTTTAAAATAGCTAAATGTGAGAGAGTTGGAGAACTGCCAGAACTAAAAATTGTGGCCCCCTGGAGTTGGAGGTAAGGCCTTTATATAGGCATTGTTTGGCGTGAGCATCACGCAACACGTCCGAGATCTCCGGGAGGACGTGCCTAACTACCTTCGAGGTCCTCAGAGGTAGCCGTGCACGTAAGCCAATCTTTGCGCCTTACTCGGTTTCTTCCAAAACATTCGGTGTGAGAGCTGATCTCCGAGAGACCTGGGAGTGATGGGATGCATGCAGAAATCGACAACGAGCACGTCTCGTAGGTCACCACCTGGACCTCAATCAGGTCGGCAAGCCCTCGAGGGTGGTCGCTTCAGCCAATATTGACGAGGTACCATAGGTCAGCCTTGGACGAGCTGCTGCTAGCCACCATGAGTCGTGGAAGAGGTCGCTGGCTAGGTTTCTACTAAGTCGGCGGTGGAGGCAGGCCGCCAGGTCGCCAGGTCGGCGCTAGAGGCAGGTCGCCAGGTCAGTGTTAGAGGCAGGTTGCCAGGTTGGCGCTAGAGGCAGGTCGCCAAGTCACGCTAGAGGTAGGTTGCCAAGTCGGCACCAGAGGCAGGTTGCTAGGTCGACGTTAGATGCAAGTTGCCAGGTCGGCACCAGAGGTAGGTCGCTAGGTCGGCACCACCAGAGGCAGGTCGCCAGGTCGGCACCAAAGGCAGGTCACCACGTCGGTGCTAGAGACAGGTCCCCAGGTCGGCACCAGAGGCAGGTTGCCAGGTCGGTACCAGAGGCAGGTTGCCAGGTCGGCGCTAGAGGTAGGTTACCAGGTCAGCACCAGAGGTAGGTTGCTAGGTCGGCGCTAGAGGCAAGTCACCAGGTCGACGTTAGATGCAAGTTGCCAGGTCGGCACCAGAGGTAGGTCGCCAGGTCGGCACCACCAGAGGCAGGTCGCCAGGTCGGCACCACCAGAGGCAGGTCGCTAGGTCGGCACCAAAGGCAGGTCACCACGTCGGTGCTAGAGACAGGTCCCCAGGTCGGCACTAGAGGCAGGTTGCCAGGTCGGTACCAGAGGCAGGTCGCCAGGTCGGCGCTAGAGGTAGGTGCACCAGAGGCAGGTTGCTAGGTCGACGCTAGAGGCAGGTCGCCAGGTCGCTAGGTCGACGACAGTGCCGCTAGCTGGGACTCCATCATTTTGAATAAGGCAAGTTTTCGCCTAGGTGGTTCTGGGTGTCACCCAGTTGCTCCAAGATGCCATGTGTCATGATGTTAGTGGAGGGCCAAATCTGCCCTCATCAATCAAGGATTTGCAGCGGCGATTTGCAGCAGCCAACCACCGGCGACTACTGTGGAGTCACCGGTTCTGGGTAAAAATCCACAAGATTTGGCATAGCAACTGCCGGCGACCAAGATTTGGCATAGCATCTCCTCGACCAAAGAAGAGAACAACGACACTTGTGTTTTCAACCGAAGATTTGTAGCGGCCAACAGTCTTCGTGCACTTGAAGGGGACGACCAAGATTTGCAAAGGCCAACTTCTGGCAAACAGCAACACACTGCGTTTCCGAACAATCAATCGCCGGCGACCAAGATTTACAGCGGCAATAGGCGAACATAGTGGAAGGATTGCATCGACCATCTCTGTGCGCATTAGTCATTCCCCTTCCCCCCCCCCCCCCCCCCCCCCCCCCCGGGGCTTTCTACAACCATCTCTTGCTCTGGCTAGCATGTATTGAGCGGCGGAAACCTGTACAACAGCCATTAAAGCCGAGCTGGGCCTCCGCCGTTATAAAAGGTTGCGACCGGAGAGTTTGGGGCTGGATTTGCTAGCTACGGGGATTTGGTTTTTGGATGAGAGAGATTTAGTTAGGGAGAGGGAATGGTGATTCTCTAATGTGGTTTTCCGGAGGCCAACGAAACTATTAACGTAGCGCGTCGGAAATGGGTGATTTTCCGGACACAATTGGTGGTGTTGGTGGAAAATGGGGAGTTGATGGCAGTAGTGGACGCCATCCTTGCTGGCCTCTGGTGTTGTATCTGAAGTCTGAACAGAGTAAGTTCAGACTTATTTTGTAACTTTTCTGTTAGAACGGGCCGACCGTTCCCATGACCGGTACAATCTCCAGTTTGGTTTTAAAAACCATGCTCATCATCCCTTGCTATCACACCAATGACATATTTTCCATCCGGGTTTCTGCAATGTTATCACTTTTGAAAGGCATGCCTTCGGACTGTAACCCTAATAGAAGTACAAATTAAGTGAAAACAGAAAATAAGTGATAACCCCTACCTTAACTCAGAAATTGCGACTGAAACAAAACCTGTGTGGCTGAAACTCGTGAGGAAGAAGAAATCCTTTGCTACTGTAACTCAGAAATTACGACTGAAACAAATACTGTGGCTGAAACTTGTGTGGAAGAAGAAATCTCTTGCTACTGTAACTCAGAAATTGCGACTGAAACAAATCCTGTGTGGCTGAAACTCGTGAGGAAGAAGAAATCCCTTTCTACTGTAACTAGGAACTTGGTGAAGAAGTAGAAGCTTGGTCACAAAGGAGAAATCCCTTATTGGGAGAAACCGAATGCAAGAGAGAAACAAGGTGAGATATAACTCAAGAGGGTTAAAAGTGTCTGAATAGTAATTATAAGGGTAGTATGGGGATTAAACAAAACTGTAATAGTAGATTTTGGATGGAATGCTAAGGAAAGAGGTCTTTGTCTCACGGTCATAGTATAAGGGGGTATTTGTCTCAAAACAAAGTACAGGGGGTCTTTGTCACAAACCCCATAATACAGGGGGGGTCTTTGTAATTTACCCAATTAATTTTGATTGTATGAAGGTGAGGTCTCCCCATTTTATTTGATTTCATTGGACTGTATTATGGATAGATAATAGGTGTGGGAGGTGAGAGAAACTTGACTCCGGATCTCCTGCCCACGAGAACCCTACCCACAATACACCACCCCCCTTGAATTGGGAGCATCAGAGGATGAAATGTTCTCCATGTGTGACTAAGATAAACATGGACAAGATTCTCGTAAGCAGGAGATCCGGGCTCGAGAGACTTTGGCACAATCCCTCCACCACCAAGTGCAGCGGCATCAGTTTATTTTTTAAATATTTTATTATTCCTCCTCTTTCAAATATTCCACAGGATAATACTAACTGTGAAGAGTTCATGTTCCTCTATTGGTTATCCGATCCCACCAGTTTGGTAATTCTTCATCTGGAGCCAGAATCGGGACCTCACCTTTGAAGGATTGTCCAAATATGCCAAGAATTCTCGCAGTGGAGGAATAGGTGGTTGGAATCCTCCTCACCACAGAAAGGGCAATCCTCTTCAGCCCTTAAGCCCCCACTTAGCCTATAACACCGACTTCATTATAGGCAAAATTAATAGAAAATCTTCCTTTATTAGCATCAAGTCTCTAAATCATCTTGTCTTCCTTAGACTGAGAAGGGAGGAATATGAATCTAATTCTGCTTCTAAACATGGATAGGCACAAGATTATGAATTTTATCTTCCTCCCAAACCATCCTCTCATGATTGATAACTTCATCAATCGGAGCTTATCTTCCTCACCTGTGGGATCTCTATTCACCATATCTCAGCAAAGGAATCAATGAACTTGTCCTTCTAAAAAATTATTTTCTTACCATCATCACCAATCCAACCAACACCCTTATTAAGCAAGGGTCTAAAGTTAAGAATTCCTCTAGCTCCACGCCAATTAATATTATTAATTGAAAATTTTAAATTCTGATCTAATCTTTATCACGAAGAAGGGTCTATTCTGGTGATGAGGCCGATCAAATCACACATGGGACCCATTTAGATCCTTGAAATAATGGAAGGGTTGCACATAGATAAATATATGGAGAGAGAGAGAATAGAAGACAAAATTAAGTTCAATTGTTTTCTTTTTTTCTTTTGTTTGCTGTTTAGCAGATGCTTAATTAGTGTGTGATGCCTATGTTTGTCTTCACCTGGTCCTCACGTCAAAAACGAATCAACCCAAAAAAAGATTTTAATCAAATCTGTTTTCTCTTTTGTTTTTTTGCTCAGCAGATGCTTAATTAATTAGTGTATGATGCCGATGTTTGTCTTCACCTCCTCACGTCAAAAACGAATCAACCCAAAAGTTTAATCCATTTATTTTCTTATTTCCAATCTGTCCATACATTCTTGAACACAGCAAACAGCCAATCAAGTGGATTATCGCAAATTCAAAAGAAAAAAAAAAGGTAAAAAAAGCAGTAAACTGTCATCCTCTTGTTTCATTTTTTCCACAATGAGAAGAGAGAAATCCCTGATGTGGTATAGCTATAGATGATGATACAGTTCTTTTTGAGGTAAAGAGAAACTTTTTTGATACAGTTGGTAGTGGCTGGTGGAATGAGGCCAATATTACAATCTGACATTGGACTACTGGCTGGGTCCCATATCTATCGAAAATAGATGTGGGACCCACAGTAATTAATATAGGCTCGCCAAGGTGGATCTGTTCACCATAGTGGGTCCCGCTCGCATGCATCGGATGCAATGGGCCCACCGAATCTTGCAAGTCTAACAAGGAAATATACATTAATTCAATTGATGTTACTTTAGAGACCGATCGAGCAGTCCAAATAACCCTGTTTTTGTTCCCTCCTTACTTTGGAGAGAGTATTTATTATCGAAGTTCAATGGACTGCATCTTCTTGTGCTTTGCGTTTTGAATCTTCTAGAATTCCATTGTATACGTTGAAGTTGGCCGGAGAATCATCAATTCATCATCTTGAGAAAGATATGGAAAAGCAAATTCGAATGTGCTAAAATGATTCTACTTTTGCGATGAATTGTGTGATATATTGGTATGTCGCCACTCGGCAGCCGCAAATGTAGCAGTAACAGTAAGCACAACGGCAGCAGCAATGGTGGAAAAATGCACACATAGCATGTATAACTACCGTGCAAAGGGAATCTCGTGGTGTGGGATGACTGGGATCCACAGACTCCACCTTACCGGTGTGGTTGTACGTGCTTTGTCCTTAGTGCCGGATTTTGTCCTTAATACTAAGGTGCAAGTTGATAGGCTGGATCATTGCCAAAAATAATTTAGTTGATAGGTTGGATCGAATTGAATGGGACATAGATACATATATAATTTTTTTTTTCTTTTTAAATTTGTCCATCATAGGTTAGGTTAAGTGAATCCATGGTTTTTAAAACCGGATTGAATTGGACGGTTGGATTGGAAAAACTGTGAACCAGTCAGGTGATAAATTCTGTTTTATCCAAGAATTGTTATTTCGCCAAAAATTGTTGATTTGATCAGAAAACTGATGATTGGGCGATCGAACCGTTTGAACCGTCCAATGATTTTGGCTGTTTTTTATTTTTTTTGTCAGAATGGGCAGTCCGTTCGATTCGAACGGTTGGACCGTTTGACCCGGGAAAAGGACCCCTAACCAGTTCAGTTTTAAAAACCTTGAGTGAACCAAACCAAAACTCGCTAGTTATTTGGGTTCAGCTTGCTAAATGTTCAAACTCAGCTTGAAGATTATCTAAGTGAGTTGAGCTTGAGTTCAAGTTTAGTAGTGTCCAGCTTGAGTAGATCACTAGCCTAATTGAGTTTCTAATAACATTATTTGTTAATATGTTTTTATTTATAATATAAATAAATATTAATTTTTTTATAATATAAGTTTCATAGTATATTTTTATTTATAATATTTCATAATCTTGATTTATTTATAATTTTTAATCTATAATCACATTTTGTAATATATTATTCATTTATAATATTTTAAATATTAATTTATTTATAATTCTTTATAGCATTTTTTTATAATTAGCTAGAGTTGAGTTGAGCTCAAGTAGTTCACGACTAGACCTGTTCATGGGCCGGGTGGCCCGACCCCCGGACGGGCTTGAACAGGTTTTTTGGCCCGCGGGCTTAACCTCGGGCCAAAAAGCCTGGCCCGCGTAAAATTCAAGTCGGGCTCGGGCTTTGCCAAAATAGCCCGGCCCGAGCCCGGCCCGACCCGACCTATAGTTAAACCTAGGTAAACCCGATCCGACCTATAGTTAAACCTAAGTAAAAACCCTATATGATGTCCATTTGAATAAATTTTTTAATTTAAAAAGGTTGTTGATTTACTTGTAGGCCCATTGTTCATTTAAATAGGGGAAAAAACATTTGAATTAAAATAGATAATGTCCATTTGAATAGAAAAAATTCAAATTTCTTTTATTAGGTCGGGCTTCGGGCTCGGGCTTCGGCCTTTTTATCAGGGTCGGGCTTGGGCCCAAGTTGTAGGCCCATTGATCGGGTCAGGCTTGGGCTCGGGCCTAACATTTTTCTATTAATAAAGAGCCAAAGCCCGGCCCGGCCCATGAATAGGTCTATTCACGACTTGTGTTTTCAAATCGTTGTTGACTTGGATGGTCAAACTGTTTGGACTAGAAACCATCTAGATGACCAACTCCGTTTTACCCCAAACTCGGTCCCTGGCCTAAAACTGTTGAATTGGTCAATGAACCATTGACCCAAACAGTTTGACCGCTGAAATTTGACTCGGACAACAGTTTGTGGTTTATTACGTATGACAAAACAAGAATGAAAAGAAAAGTTTAGAACTTCAGATATCTCAAATCTGAGATCTAATAGATAGAGAGGTCAGTTGAGAGATATGTGTGAGATCTGAGAGATCTCATGTTTAGAGATCTAGGGAAGCAATCTAGACAAGAGATCTGCGGGAGAGGGAGCTCTTAGATATACTTTTATTGCTGCTGTTGCTTCTATAGTTTGCTGCCACTATTGTTGCTGTAGTTTGTCGTTGCTGCCGCCGTTGCCACAAGTGACCTCCTCCTCCTCCTCCTCCTCCTCCTCCTCCTCCTTCTTCTTCTTCTTCTTCTCCTTCTTCTTCTTAACTCTTAGTCTTCTTTCTCTTCTAAACTCTCTTTGCTGATAGCTTCTCAAATCTCACTCTCATTTTCAAACCCTTTTTCTCATGATATTTATATGCATTTTATCCTAATATTCCAATTTAATGGATAAGATGACATTATCACATGTTAAAGTGTTTAAACAGTTTGAACCATTTGACCCGGATGGTCAAACATCTGACCTAAAAATCGGTGGCCAAAGTGATTTTGTTTCCGGTTCAATTTTTAAAACGTTGCTCACGAGTATTGACTTGAGTCGAGTTCAAGAATGAAACTCAAAACTCGATTGAGCTCGAGTTGAGTTTTGAGCTTCAAGATTTTGAGTTGACCTCGAGGTTAAGCCACCCAAAACTCAACTCGACTCAACAACGGGTTATAGATACTTAAGATACTTAAGATTTATAGATACATTAATCTTAAGTCTATATGATCAATATCTATTTAAATTGAATGGAAAAAGATCAAATGGGATTAGATAGGGGTGGATCTAAAAGCTTACCAAACAATTAAATAATTAGAGTGTAAGGTCATGGGCCTTTACAGTCTCAATTTAAATCACCCCTAACCGAGGTCAAGTCAATTTGGTCTAGTCTAGTGACCAAACCTGAGTCACTAAGCAATGAGCCAAAATAGGGTATAAATTGTCCCAGAACATTAGGGCACAAAGAGAGAGGACAGAGACCCAACATTAAGCCACTGCCTCTTCCTCTCCATCTTCTCCTCCCACCTCCTCTCCATCCTCAAATCTGCCCCAAGAACTACAATAGTCCAATCCCTCTCTAGAG